AATTGAGATCAAGTTAAGGTTTGGAAGAAAATTGCTAGCAGACTTGGAGAGTTGCTCAAGGTTATCTGTAAACCTTAAACAATTGAGAACCTTAGGTATGATTCCTAGCCTCTAGTTTTGTAATTTAATTGATTAATGCATGGAATCAAGTGAAAGAGGTGAATTAACATGAGAATTGAGCTAAAGAATGGAATTGAGAATCAATTCATGCATGTATGTGCATTTCATAGAGTTTTGAAGTTGTTTTCAAAGATTTCTCTCATGCATGTGGTAATTCTAGCATGGTTTTAAGAATTCATAACATTTCTCACTTTTGGATCTCATTTGATCATGTAATGAAAACTTTGAAGCCAAGACAATACATGCATGTCATACATACATACAATTCAAGTTTGTTTTTGAATAATTCACTTGCTTTTGGGCCTTGATTTTGTGTAATGATCTTTAATTAATTATGTTTTGTAAGTTTACAAGTGTTTTCTCAAGTTTTGGGGCCAAAGGATGTGTTTTAAGGCTTTGAATTTAAGTATTGCAACTTGAAAAGCAATCTGGAAATTTCAAAATTCTGCATCTCCGCTCAAGTGACCGAGTTGTGCTCGAGCAACCACCTTTTGTTTTGTGCTTCTGCTCGAGCGAAGAAGTCTAAGCTCAAGCATACAATTCATACTCCTAAAAGTTTTACAAAGTTTTGCAGACCGTTCGAGCGACCAGAGTTGTGCTCGAGCAAGGACCCTATTTATTCAGTCTTATGCTCAAGCAACCGTCGAGTATCTGTCAAGCGGAGAAATCATGCAACCAGTACTTTTGAGTTTTGCACACTGCTCGAGCGACTAAAGTTGCGCTCGAGCAAACACCCTTATTCTCAACCTTAGCTCAAGCGAACACCCTTGTTTTTGAAAATCTGACTAAGTGTTTTAAGGCATATTTTGGCATCCTCATTGTATCTTAGGCATCCTTAAGCCCTAATTAAGACATGGTAGTGAGGATAAAGATTAGAAACACAACCAAACAAGAAAGAAATGAATTGAATGAATTCCGAGCGTGTGTTTCAATGTGTATCCGTTCTGTGTTTGTGTAGGTCACGCGTCGTAGGCTATTTGGTTATCAACTTTATTTGTCTGCTTTATCTATTCTCTCTATCTGCTATTGAAGCCAACTGTGAGTAATAACTTTGTAAAGCTATGTTCAATTTATAAGTAATTTCTGAATGATATAAGATAATCTATTTTCTGAAATATTATTTTCTGCATGAATGAATGGTTGTCCAACGTTTCTGAAATGTACTCATGGCATCATTAGTTTTAGATGGCATTTGTTATCTGTTTCGATATGTCCTAATTATGGGCCAATTGTACGTCTCATGAGCCAACTGTTTGGATCCTTTTGTATACGTCCCATTTATGGGCCAACTGTACGTTTCATGAGCTAACTGTACTGTCTCCGTGCACGTGAGTCAACTGTATGCCTTTATGGCCGTCCTTTTATCGGTCAACTACTTTTATTAGTGCTAATGGATGTACCACGTACGATTGACTGTAAATTCTGATTATGAATATGATTCTGATTCCATTTCTATTATGAATACTGATTTCTGAACAAGAATATGAATCCACTTCTGATATAAGCTGAATTATGTTTTCTGTATCTGTTATGGACAACATTCATTAAATTCTTTACTTTGTTATTATTCACTAGGCTCTAGCTCACTATATTATTTATGTATGTAGGTGATCAGACGTGCGACTAGGCTCAATGAAGATTGCCTGGAATTCTGTTTTGTTGGCCAACTTTTGTGCCTCCCGAGGGGGTTCCAGAAAAAGTCATGTGGTCGTGTTTTATGAACTAAGTTTAAGACTTTGTTTCTTTTGTGAAATTTGAACAAGTTTCTTTTTATCTATACTTTAGGCTAGGTTCCCTTTGGTTTTATCTATTTATGTGAGTTACGTAAGACTAATGCAAATGTAACGTCACATGTGTGTATATAAAGTTTTAAATTTTCTGTCCCATATATGTCTGCACAGCTCAATGGACTACGTATGCTTTATATATCTGCTTCCGCAGCCGCATATTATTTGTTAATTTGTTCAGAGGCCTTTGGTAATCCAAGAATTACTGGCCGGTTACAATGCTAAACCTATAGGAGTGGGTTTGAGTCGTGAGACCCTGGCTATGGAATCCAACCAAGCACTAATATAAGTAGGTTATTGTACTGAAGCTTCTCATAGATTGACTTCTTCCAAAGGATCTTGCATCTGAGTACTTACCAATGCTTCTCCATCAGTTTTCTCAACCTTCGAAGCTAACTTTTTTATCTTGATCTACCACCAACCTTCCTGGTTCATCATCTTTACTTTCTTCTTCATAGATGAAATCCGTCCACAAAGCTTCTTCTTCCTGTATTCTTGGATTTTGGTTTCAATGTCCAATGCATAATACTTACTTAGAGCCAATGATTTGGTTTCCTGCTACTTATGTTCACTGCCAATCGTCATGGCTTTCTTTTCTTTCTGAACTTTTTGGACTATTGCCTCAATGTTGAATGTAAAGAATTTCACTAAAGCTAATGGTCTGGCTTCTTGATCCTCCTACTTATAACCAGACATTATTGGTATCTTTAATGATGTAGTCATAATCATCATCTGCACTTTCTTGTACCAAATGTTTTAGGTGTGCTAACTCCTCATCAGCCATTACTTCGGCTGTTGCATCAGGCTTCCTTAGCACGCTTAGTAGGCTACTTAATAGCAGTCTATTGTTGATCTATCTTGAACACGGACACTGTTTGTTTAGTCATGAAGGCTTTAAACATATCTTTTTCAGCCAATACATGTTCTTGGCCTGGTTCAGTTCCTTCGCTTATCTCATTGTCATCATCACTTTCTATTAAGCCCTTTTTGTGGCCTGCCAAACTTGATCTCTCTTTGGTTTTTAGTTCAGTATGGACCTTAGCCCATTTCTCTCTACTGGCACTTCTGTTGATCTTGGGACTAGGCTTCAAATTCTCCCATTTGACCTGTTGTTTGTGCCAAAGAGGTACCCTCACCAGCTCCCTTAAGATTCCTCTGAAATTGAGTGAACCTTCGTTGGATTTTCCTCCTCTAAGATCTAGAGATCACAAGAACCATATCTGGTTCCTTTATCTTCGGGTTTGTGAGTAGGACCCAATTGTTGGGAGCCACCAAAGGAGGTTTGAGCATTCTTTCTCAGTCTTCAAAAACCTTTCTTTGAGTTGACATGTCCTTAGGTTTATTCTGCATGGAGGTTTGAGCATTTTTTCCCTACCTATGAAGGCCTTCCTCTAGGTCGGTATCATCTTAGGTTTGTTTTATATGACAAGCCAATCTAGTACTTTTGGCACCCATGAACTCACTGTGCCGACGGTTAGGCCTGCTGCTTTTGTCTTCGAAGGCCAATCATTGGCCTTGGTTCTCTGTTTTGATCCAAGTTCAGGCTTATTTACAAGCTTGTTGACCATCCTGTAGTAGTTTGGTGGCTTGGTTTCATCCAAAGGTCTACTACCTCTCGACAGATTCCTGGCGTTTGGTGGCCTAACCAAGGATGGCTATTGGTTAAGGCCACTTAGGTATGCCCTCTTGTTGTGTGTAATAACTGGCCTACGATCTTTCTGCATATCTCTGTAATATTGTTTCCTATCAATTGGAAGCCCTTGCAGCCATTTATAACATAGCCTGTACCTGGGGCACATCAGCTGCATAACAGCTGTTTCGAACAAGTCATCATCTAAAAGTTCTTCACTTAAACCATCTTTTTGTCCTACGAAGCTTTGCCTACTTGCTAGTGAACTCTATATGCTTCTTCTAAAGACAGTTTGGCTAGCCATATGCATCTGCACATTGACCTCATCCAATTCCTTCAGGGAGAGGCTCTTATCCACTTTTTGTGCAAGGAAATCTAGTACACCAACATTGGCTACTGTTTCTCTGATCTCTGGGGATAGGTTGATGTCAATCCCCATTGCCTTTTCTGTTTTGGCTAGGAATTTTAGTCTTCTTTCTGAATCTGCTCTTGAATCCTGTCTCAAAAAATAATACAGTTCTTAGTTGAGTGAAACCAAGAGTTATGCCATTTATAGTACATTTTTCCTTTTATTTATTTTGAGGTTGAGATCTTAACTCCCTTAGGCAATTTGAGAAAATATGCTGCTAGCAAATGATCAAATATGTCATCTGCTTTTGATATATCAAAAGAATATTTCTTGTGAAGATCTTTCTTTTTAAACTATTGATCAATGGTAGTATCCTTTTGAATTAATGTTTAACAGATCATAAGTTCTTATCCTATAATCTCTACTGCATCAATTTCAAAATTAGGGTCCCTATAATAGGTCCTATAGGACGCATTACTTTGATCATGTTCTTTCTCAAGGAGAGTCTCATATCTAGTAACTTTATAAGTCAATTCTACTAGGTCTCGAAACTCTGTTGAGTTAAACTTCTTTTGAAACCTAAATTCTAGCCCATTTTGGGCCAACCTTACAAACTCAGGTTCAGTTAATATGACCCTGCACTTGTTTCATGCCCTTTTGAATCTCGCAATGAATTGAGCAGCCTTCTGATCAAGCATTTGGCTCAACGTTGCCAAGTCTGCCATAGATACTTCAGGCTCTGTTTGGAAGAACTAGGCATGAAACACTTCTTCCATTTGTTGCTAAGTCTAGATAGAACCACGTGTAAGGTTAGTGTGCCATACGAAGGCTGCCCCAGTTAAAGAGTTTGGAAAAAGTCTCAATTTCATGTAATCATTGTTGGTAAATTCACTACATTGGCCTGTAAGCCTGGCAATGTGTTTAACAGTTGACTAGTTTCCATTCCCACAGAAGAAGGCAAAGTCTGGCATCTTATATCCCCTTGGATATTCATGTAACCTATTTACCCATTCTGGGTAAGGCCTTTTGTAGACAGGGGTTTGGACCCCTCGAGCCATATGTCTACAAATCTCTCTAACAATGTCAGTAATTTGGTCCCTATGTACTAGATTCTATGCTAGTTGGGCCACTATTAGAGGAGCAAACACAGGGTTTTGAGGACCTCCTTGTGCTTGGAGCCCTCTTGGTCCATGTAAAAGTACATTTGGGACTGATTGTCCCTATTGTGCTGGTTGATGCAAAGGGTATGGCTGCCCTCTTGGGGCAGGCATTTGCCCTACGAAAGGTGCTGCGAAGGGAACTATGGGAGGAGGAATTCCAACCGCAAAAATTCCTTCCAACCCCCCGGGTGTGAGCTCGAACACAGGATTGGTGAACACTCGTGTACCAGGCATGGGTTCAAACATAGGATTTGAAAATATTCGCATGCCATTGCCCTGTGTCAGACCAGACCCACTAATGTGTATGGTTTCACTGGTAGGCAAAGGTGCATTCTGACTTACCAATGGTCTCGGAGGAGCCTAATACCATGATTGAGGCACAGGTAATCGTCTCTTATGATTTTGACTATTAGTTTGACCACTAGTTTGACCATTATTTTGTCCATTACTTTGCATAGGTTGTTTATCTCGAACCAATCTCTACTGAAGAAAATGTATGTTCTCTTCAGCCTGCCTTATAACAGGTGGTTGATAAGAGTTCATTCAATCCAAAAAGGATGTTACCCATCTTTCCATTGTATACATTAATTGATGTCCCATAATGTCGACCAATCCTCCTCAAGGATTCATTAGTTGGGTAGAGGGAACAATTGAAGGTCCAGTTTCATGGCCCTGTCTAATATTTTGGACACGTGTTACATATCCTGCAATGTTAGTCTCTTTGACCACTTGTGTAGGATCAGTTAAGGCAGGCATATCCATGGGACATGATATTACATTATTCCCTGGGTTTTGTATGTCTAAGTCTCCTTCCCCACCTTCTTCGAGGTGTCCATTTTCTCACTGTCTCTTATGTCTAGCCATTAATAAGGTCCCACCGAGTGTGCCAAAAATATATGTTGGCTTTTTAGGCTTTTGAAGGTTAGAAATGTAATTTTGAGCATGCCAATAAGGATCAATGAGTCCTTACAGAAGTATTTAAATGCCAACCATTTAACCAGACGACTGTTTCGAAGTTCTTTTAGCATCAATGAAGAGGACTTTTACTGGTAACTTATTTTTAGAAGAAAACTCAAAAAACTAATCATAAAAATAAAAGAAAGAGGGAGAAACAAATGTTAGAAAACAAATTTCATTAAGTAAACAAGAGTTTACAATTGTACCTTCGCACTTTCACAGCTGTGAAGGGGATTACAATAACAAACTAATTTAGAATTACTCCTAGGAATTTGAAGGGCAGTACAGGTAGGAATGGCAACAGGCCGGGCCGGGGTCGGGGATCACACTCCTCGTCCCCAATGGTGGAAATTCTCCTGTTCCCGGCCCCGATCCCTGACAGGAAACCTATCACCGCCCCCCTCCCCCGCCCCCTAACGGGGATCGGGTTTCCTTGACCCCAAAAATTCCCTAAAAAAAAAAAAAAAAAATCAGCTCCAGAAAATACAAGAATTCATCATCAACAACAACATCATCATCAACAACAACAACATCATCACCAAATCATATTTGTTCATCATCATCATCATCAACAACAACAACAACAACACACCCATACACCAGAATTCACATATATATTCAACAGATCTAACAGATCTGAGCTCAAATGTAAAAAATAAAAAATAAAAAATCTAACACATTATTCAAATCATCAATTTCTTCGTCTTCATCAACAACAGATCTGAGTTAAAATCTAATATATATATATATATATATATAGAGAGAGAGAGAGAGAGAGAGAGATGGATGGGTAGATTTGAGGGAAGAGAGTGGTGCAAAACCCTAGCCTTAGGTAGAAATGGCGACGGATCTAAAAGCGGACTCCTCAACTTGGACTTGGCACCGGTGACCAGAACTTCCAGATCTAAAAAACAAAAGCAAAAAATAGATAGATAGATAGAGAGAGAGAGAGAGAGAGAGAGAGAGAGAGAGTAACTAGAGAGGAGGAGATACCATGAGAGAGAGAGAGAGAGAGATACCGTGAGAGGGAGAGGAGGAGCCGCCGCCATTGACAGAAAGGAGGAGGAGCTGCCACTGTGACGTCGTGAGAGCAAAGTGACACCGGTGAGAAAGAGAGGAGGAGCCGTCGCCTATGTCGTGAACACTTGCAGCAGAGAGAGAAAGAGAGAGACTGAGAGGAGAATCAATCAAAATAACCCTAAACATATATATATATATGGGAAATATTTGGGGATTATTCGGGACGAGACCGAGGGAACCTATCCCTGTCCCCGACCCAAAAACCATCAGGGATTCAATTTTCAATACAATCCCTAGCCCTATGAGGGTAATTTTCGAGAAAAACCCGTTCTAATCGGGATCGAGAGGTCGGGTCCTCGTCGAGCCGAGTTCAAATTGCCATCCCTAAGTACAGGAAAGTAAAATACTGGAATTTAAAAGACTGGAAAAGTAAAGTAAAATAAACTAGTTTCTGGATCTAGTTCTGGGTCTCTCATTATCAACACTCTCCTTGATTCATAGGCTCTGAGGATAACCATTGAAGTGGCTAATAACCATTGAAGTAGGTGATAACTATCGAAGTGATCTCCATGATCACTGGGCATGGCTCTGAACAATTTGCTTTCACTATACAACTCTTATGGTTGGGCTTCCCTCATGAATTTGAATTTAAATTGTAAGCAACTGTTTAGCTACATCACCTTGTGTATCTTGATTGTTCCCATGCCTTGCAGATCTATCACCATTGATACAAGTTACCGCGTGTTTGTTGATGATTGAAGATCTCCATTGATTCCCAAATTATCCCTTATGGACCACGTGCCAAGCTGTGATTGGTTTGTACAAAATATACCGCCAACACTTTCCAAAAACCATGTAATGCCAGGTTTATATCACAATTCATAAAATCATTTCATTTACAATAGAAAACAGGGTAGTGGATACAACACTAAGAATCATTAAGTTGTGTCTGCAAGTAGGCTACAAACACTACCAATTGCCATTTTTATCAATACTAACCAGAAGACATGACACCTATCCACGCGAATTTCTGGACTTTCACCAAAGATACACAGGCCAACTTAATACCACAACTACACTCCCTACCCAAATTTACCAAAGTATTCACCAATTTTTTCTCAAAAAAATAAACATTTTCAATGTGTTAAATATGTTACAATGCTCAATGCAAATGGATGGGAAATTAGTTTCAATTCACCTAAGTCTCGTGTAATTTCTACAACAATCATAGTTATCCTCCACTGATAGTCCAAAACAGATATCTCTAAACAGACAAATAATTTCCAATAAAGATATGCTTTCCAAAATCTCAAGATAGGAGTGATAATTCATATTCAACTCCAACTCCACCACCATCATCATTGTCGTTCCAATTTCATAAAACCAACATTAATTCCATTTTCTCTTTACAAAATCAAATATTCACAATTTAGGGCAAAATCTCATTTTTTTTAAAAATCAAGTCCAAGGATAAAAATCCACCATTTTACCACAATTCAACCATATTTATAATTCCACAATTTTTTTCAAGAACCCATTTGAAAATCCCTCTTTTGATTTCAAACCAAAACCCTAGATTTGTTCAAAAATCTCCAATATCAAGATTTTTATAAAAAGACAAATAATCAAGTTAAAAATCATAGTAAAGTACGAAGAATACCCTACTTCAAAGCTAGAAGACAAGAGAGGGAGAGAAGAAACCTCGATGAAGTCGAAAACTAACTTTGCTCCGACTACAATGAAGCTCTAGGTGAGCTTTACCTTTTTAACAAAGGGACTAGGGTATAGAGATCAATAAATTGAGAGTATTTTGAGGTTGAAGGTGAGTTTTAGAGAGAGAGAAAGAGTTTGGATTTAGGGTTTTAAAATATTTATAGAGAGAGAGAGATGAAAAAGTAACTCAAAAAGTGACTTTTACGGACTAATATACACTTAGATCGCTCGAGCGACCAAAACACCGCTCAAGCCACCAGGCACAAAAAGAGAAACCACTCGAGCGAACAAAGTACCGCTTGAGTGAAGAACACCACCCTCCCAGTACTTTTGCAGGCTTGCAAAAGTATTGAGAGTTCTAAAACACCGTTCTAGCGCAAGAAGGACCCCTCGAGCCAAGACTGCTCGTGCACAAGAAATACCGCACGAGCGAAGAATGCCACTCCCAGTAGTTTTGCAGACCTGCAAAACTACTAGAAGTTCTCAAAGTTCGCTCGAGCGCAAGCAAATTCGCTCGAGCAAACAAGTCAAAATCTAGGCAGTAATAGTTTTGAAAAAAACTAACTTCTAACCTGTTTCAAACACAACTAAGACACTCCAATAATCAAACTCAGCAAGGAATGAGACGAAAGAAGACATGAACAACCATCAAGACAAGGAATCTCGGATCAAAAACAATGAACGGGTTGGGTTTAAACTAGAGTCATTATATAACTTATTTATTTATTATAAATTGTCACATTATTATTTTTTATTTTTTTTATATATCTTTTTTGTAAAAAATCAATAAATCAAAAAATAAACAAATCTTAAATCACCCCTAAATATATATATTTTTGGTACATGTTATGCATTTATAGAGTTATGATAATATGTCATTTTATTTTTGAATAATATTGTCACGACCCGAACCCGCCCCTATGGGTTAAGGCCATAACCGGCCAGTAATTACGAGATTACCTACAGCCTCAAACCAAATCAGATATAACTCATCAGAGTAAAGGGACCAAACGGACGCAATTTCAAAAAAACTTTGTCCATAGAGCTGTGCTTACATGGCACGTCATAACAAACCATACCTATGTACATTAATAACTCACAATAGAAACACAGTAGCATAAAGTTCTGTACAGACAGGATCATCCAAATCTAAGTCAACCCATGAAAACTATACACAGACATATTCAAAGACTTCGCCAACATGACAACATAAAACAAAATGACAAAAAGGCGAAGACGAGTCTCGTATGTGAGACGCAAGGGCTGACTCTTCAAAACCTTTGTTGTTCCACACAAACATCACTGGGGCTGGGTCTAGACTTCTCTTGACTCACCTAAAAACACATGAATGAGCATGAGCAATAGCGATAGCCCAGTGAATAATATCAAATAAAGAAGTTATACAAACGATATGTAGAACAACATACTTCAAACGGCCTTGGGCTCGATTCATATTTCTATTTAACATACATATACACAATTTAAGTCAAGTGACTGTGGTTTCAAACATACTGGCCTTTAGCCCATTCATCTTTCATTTGTCAAACCGGCCTTTGGCCCATTCAGACTTTCATGTCAAACTGGACTTTGGCCCATTCAGACTTTCATGTCAAACTGGCCTCTGGCCCATTCATTCATGTCAGACTGGCCTTTGGCCCATTCAAACTTTCATGTCAGACTGGCCTCTGGCCCATTCATTCGTGTCAAACTGGCCTCTGGCCCATTCATTCATATCAGACTGGCCTTTGGCTCATTCAAACTTTCATGTCAGGCTGGCCTATGGCCCATTCATTCGTGTCAAACTGGCCTCTAGCCCATTCATTTATTCATATCAAACATTTGTCCATAATTCAAAATAACAAACTTATAAGGCTTATAAGGAAATAAGCAATTGGACAAATGACAAGTTTCAAATATCGATATTACTCATAGTGATCGGTTGGTTGGTTTGCCCTGGAGCTTGACCCTACACATCACATAGCACATACGGGTCACAAATGATTCAATCTGTTCCTTAATTCACATATTCCTCTTTAGGCTTCATTCTTATCTCTTTAACTCATTTACAATGCTCAATGCATGCCTAAGAGTGCTTACAAGTGAAAGAGGACGGAAAACGAAACACAGAACGCATAAACAAAATTTCAAAAAAAGGGTCCCTGCTCGAGCGGACCCAAGAGGCCTGCAAAAGTACTGGCTATGTCAAATTTACGTTCGAAAGTACATTCTTGCGCTCGAGCGGAAGGCCTCTCTACATGGCTCCCCGCTCGAGCGGAAGTCATGTCTGCAAAAAAATGCTGGGAGCCCGTATTTCACGCTCGAGCGGCGGTTTCCCCGCTTGAGCGGACGCCAAAATTTCTGGGTTTCTAGCTATGTTCTTGAGCTTCAACTTGACATTCCATCCAACATTTCTTGCATGCAATAGCTCAAACTTCAAATACACTTGTACTAACATGGTATAAACCCCAAATTACAACCCAATGAAGCTTAATTTCATGAATCAAACACATGCATGTCCCAAATTAACTCAAACTCATCACCAACACACTAAATTCAAACATTCAAGGTTCATACTTCCATGATTTGCACTTGCATGTGGAATATACACAATATCCTCAACTTAATTGGTGAAGAGGTGATCAAATATATGAACTTAAACCAAAAATTCAACATGGATCATACACATTGTGCTCAAATATGGAAATTCATAGTAATTTCCTACATGCATGCATCTATTGACTTTAAATTCAACAAATACAACTCAATTTCCTTATAATCAAACTAATTCATGTTCTTTACCATTAATCAAACTTGAATTCACAATTTACAACATTAAACTCATGAATTCACTTACCTAGAGGCTCAATTCTTCCAATCTATGGTCAAATCTAGAGTTGGCCTTCAAATATTCAAGCTTCAATGATCAACTTCAACCCTCTCCCTCTCTAGCCGGCCCTCTCTTCTCTCTTAAGGTTAGAATCAGCCAAAATGAAGCTAAAGAGGGAATTTGAGGGTGTAGTGCCTTATTACAACAAATTCCACTAATTCCAATTTAATAATAATAAATAATTGGACACTAATTTATCAATTAAATCAATTAATTCTGATCTGAATCAATTTCTAATTAAATTTCACCGTAGGCTCTAAAAATTATGCCAATCGCAATGGCGTAGTTAATTTCGGTTTCTGTGGCCAATAAGGCCTTCAATTTAATTTCCAAAGCAGACAATCAAACAGATATTCCTACGGTGATCAGATAGAAATTCAAAACCACATATTTTCGCATAATGGCACACAAAATCATATTAAACACATAATCACATTCATGTTAAGGACCAATTAACATATTACGGAACATGGATATCACAAATATATTATTGTAATTCTATTAAAAAGATTATTTAGACCTTGTTTGGCAAAGGTTAATTTAGTTAAGAATTTAGTAAAAATTTCAAAAAATTAGAGATTCTTTCTAATTCTCTCTAATTTCTACATTTTTTTATTTATTTATTAAAAGTTAAAAAATTATTCCCAAATACTATAATTTTTTTTAGTCCGTATTTTAGTTAAAAAGACATTAAAAAAAGTTATTCCAAACAAACTTCTAATATTTGCTACAAAAATATGTAACATATTATAAGAATATATAATTAGTTGCATATGATACACAATGTTATAAAGTGTATACCAGGGGTTCCCTACTTTTTTTGAATACTTCTTATATATTTATATTTATATTTATATTTATTATTATTATTATTCCCCTTTAATGTATATTATTTTATAAATATTATAAAACAAGTACAATATCTTTGGAACAATTAAAAAATAAAAAATAAATAAATAAATAAAGGTTTGAGCCTTATAACAAAATAAATTTTTAATTTTTAATTTTGTCAATTTAAACCCTAAACTTTTTATTTATTTTCAATTTAAACCAATTGACTATTTTTATTAAGTAAAATCAATGAAAAAATATGTATTTTAGTCATTAAACTTAATGAAAAGTGTATTTTAGACATTGTATGCATATTGGGTAAACTATCAATAGGTCCTAATAGTTGGGGACTTAATTCTCATCAAGTCCTATTGAAAATAAGTTTTGGTAAAATTGTCGTTAAAAATAATTTTTTCTGCAACAATTTTTTATATATATCGCTAAAAATTGACAATTAGTGACTTTTTTTTTGTCATGATTTTTATAAATTGTCGCTAAAATTTATAATTAGTGGCTTTTTTATGACAAATTTTTCCCATAAGACCTATCAGACAATAAGTCCACTTATTAGGACCTACACGTAAGTACATTGAGTTTCATGAATAAAATATTATTTTTTTGTCGGTTTTATTTAACGAAAATAGACGAATGATTTAAATTAAAAATAAATAAAAAAATTTAAATTTAAATTGATAAAATTAAAAATTCAGAATTTATACCGTTAAAGGGTCAAACCCTAATTGTCTCAATATCCTTTTGATGTCGTATATTATGTGTATTATCCTTTTTTCTTGTATAATAAATTTAAAATATTTAAATATATTATTATTTTTTTGGATCAAATCTACATATTCTTAAACTAAAAATACAATGAACACATCCTCAAAATTTGAAGTTCAACACTCAACCCTCTATCCGAAGTCATGGAATCACTACAGGAAATGTAGGTTTTAACGGCGTTTATTTAATGACGTTTTTCTGAACGTCACTGTTTTATAATATTTAACGGCGTTTTGCAAACGTCGCCTTTTTTTAAATGAAAACGGCACCGTTTTAATGATAGGAGGCGTTCAAAAGCGCCTTCAAATCTCTAAACACTATCTCCCTAAATGGGCTGGCCGCTGACTCACTCTTCTACACCCTCTTCCTAAGCTCTCAGTCACTCAACCCTCTCCTGATCTGTGGACGGCTCGCTTGCTCTCTCTCTCTCTCTCTCTCTTTCTCTCGAATACTTCCAATAGCAGTGATTCATCTCAGAATATCAATTGATCGATATCTCAATGGATCGCTCTCTCTCAAGCTCTCTCTCAACGGATCCATCAATCGAATCTCGGTGATTCATCTCAGAATGACATCTCGGCGATTTCGATTTTGATTTCAAAGTGCTCTCTCTCTCGATTTCGAAGGTCTCTCTCTCGATTGCGAAGGTCTATCTGTTATGCGGAGATCAAGGCATTGAGAGAAGGCAGAAAGGTTCGGATCTACCCATTCTCTCTCTCTATATGACTATCGTAAATCTGATTCGGTGATTCTGTTTTGTTTGTGTTGGTTCAGTGATTCTATATATATATATATATGTATATATATATATATATATTATAACTCTCTTCTGTTTTGTTGATTTGGTTGTTGCCAAGTTTTGATTCTGCAATGCGATAGTATTGCTCTGTTGAATTTCGATGCATCTTCTAGAGATTTTGTGTTGTCCGAATGGAATTTACACTGCACAAGGGCTATACCTGATATTGCAGTGTGAATGGCCCATGTATAGAGGACTAGTTTTGATGAAAGGGATGTCGAGCAGGTGATGTAACTTCTCTATCTTTTTCCTTTTCTTTTCTTTCATAATTTTATTGCCAATTAGAATTTTTTTGCTTTTGTTCCTATCTGAGGTTGCTTCCATAGCTATATGATGGGGACAGCTTTAACTATTAAATATTGTAGAAGCCATTTTCACAACTTTTTAGGAGAAGAAGCAAATGTAAAAAAATCATAAACCAATTTATTGGGCCACATTGAATCTGTTATGTCTGACACAATTTCTTTCTCAATTGGAAAAATACTACACACTCACAAGACTACAAAATCAAACAATGGAGGGGCATAATGCCCGCTCAAATATACATAGTTGCCAAAAATTTACTTCAATTTACAAATTAAGACTTTAGAAATTTTGTTCTTTCCTTTAATAGCCAGAATCTGAAAGTGTGGCTTCTGTGTTGACTTGATATCCAATTGCATTGAATTTCCCATTTGAAAGTCTACTTTAAGTGCTTTCAGTTTTCTTTTCTCTGAGAGAACTAAGATGGCTGTTGGTATCTGTAATTGATGGAAATGAGTCTTGCTGGAGTTCTTAAACATAAACAAAGAAGAAAAAAGAATAGAAGAACAAAAAAATAAAAAGCAACAAGAAGTCATATGAAATATTTTTTACTTTAAGGTGCAAGTCTCCATTCCAGTTTTACATTTTGACTGCCTAGGAACAATTAAAATGCTTATGTGCCATTTTGAATTGTGAACAAGTAGTATCCTAGTTTTGAATATTAGTTACATGGTTAATTCCTTTGGCTTCCTCTTTGAGTCGAATGGTCCCTCTTCTTACATTGTAATCTATAGGCATCACTGAGAATATGATAGGAAGGCTGGCCTTTTGATCAAGTTTGCAAGTGTTCTTGCTTTGGAGTTGAGCGATTCCTCATTTTGATCGAGTATTTATTGTGTAGAGTAATCCAGCAGTGCATCAAGTGATTTTGTTGCTTGTGGTCCAGTGGTTCCTATGCTTCTATCTTTGCTTTGGCCTTAGACATGGGATGGATGCCCATGATTAAACACCATTTTTGGTGTAGGAAGCCCATGATTGGGAATTTCTTGTGATATCATGAAGTTTTTATTTATCTTCACATATGCTAATTTTCTTAATATTCTCCCTGTTTCCTCTTAGGGTACTTCAGTATGCTATATGCTTTTGCTAAATTATCCGTGAGTGATCTGATAATTTTTTCTGTATCTTATTTTTAAATGTAGTCTATTGCAGCCTTAAAGAGGGGGGCATATCTGCTAAAGTATGGACGCAGAGGGAAGCCGAAGTTCTGTCCATTCCGGCTTTCTACTGTAAGTTATTTGCATTGATATAAGTATGGATCAGGTCTACATTTCTTTCTGCATGTTTTCCAGTTACGCTGATTGCATGGTATATTATGTTTTTCAAATGTGTATCTGGTTTGTGCTGTGATAAAAATAAATATGTTTTTAAAAGTGGATAAAAGGCCTACAGGTGGGCTCTGCTTTGGGAGAAGTTATTCAGTGCTTCCAGGACATCACCTGGCAAAGGCCATGTGGTGGCCCATGCCTCTTACAGACAGACATCCCAAGCAACCTGACAGTTTCTCCCAATAAATATGCAAGTCACATAAATATGTAAAATATCAATGACAGTAAATGCTTTAAATTATCTGATAAAAGAAATCCATCTAGTGTTCACAAAATATGAATCAGAAGTCATTTTGTGATTTTGAAAAGTTTTTCCCTTTGTAGTTTTGAAAAATCGGGGTATTACATGAAATAAAAGCATATTCATATTAATTAAAACATTGGTAATGAAAGCTTACTTTTGGAAATTGAGCCAAGCTATGGTTCCCTACATGTGTAAATATAACAAATTCTTTTTTATTTATTTATTTTGAGGCCAATTTTGAAGATATGCACTTTTGCTGTTATAATTGTGGGTAATTTTGTCTTCCTATAGAAAGTTCAACATGAATTGTTGTCCGTTTATGCAACCCAATTGCTCGAGAAGGAGCACTCTGGATGTCATGCATTGCTTAGGGATGACAAGGTAGTCATTTGGACCATTTTTTTTTATCAGACTTGGACAGTGTTATTATTCAAGCCTTCTTGCTGTTATTTCAGTTGCAATTAACTAAAGTTTATTAACATTTTTTTCCTGTTCTCTTGTAGGTAGAGGATTTATCAAGGATGTATAGGCTCTTTTCCAAAATACCTCGAGGTTTAGATCCGGTTTCTAGTATATTTAAACAGGTTTTGGTCTTTAACTTGCAGTACATTGTTCTGTAAAGAATGTAGCATTGTGCCTCTGGTATTATTTGTTTCTTCCCCTTGTTTATTTTGAAGTTTGGCTGGGTTTTTCTTTATGCAGCATGTTACTGCTGAAGGTACAGCATTGGTTAAACAAGCGGAAGATGCAGCCAGCAATAAGAAGGTGATGTAATCTTGATTGTGTTATTTCAGATCCCATAGTCTTTGTGCAATTTGTCTTCTGAGGAGGTGCATTTCACAAGGCTCATGATTGATCTACTATTACATTGGACTTGGTTAAACAAGTTAACATGAATCAGTCATATAAAATTATAAATCAATCTTATTGTGCATGTGCTAACTAGATGAAATCATTATGCATGTATTAGTCATACTGATGCATTTGTATTCATTTTTTTGGTGCTGGGTTATTGATACATGTGTATTTATGGAACATTGTTACTCTAATGAATTTGTGATTTAATATTGCACCAGCGTGCTTACTTGCTTTTAAGTTCAGGATAACAAAATTCAATGTGGGGGTAAAAGTATTTGCTCTAATTAAATGCACCAGATGCTGGGCATTTAAATCGTAGTGTGGGACTTTTGGGTGGTTTGCTTCTTTGACTAACAGAAAAACATGAAACTGATGGGGCGAAGCACACTCTTATAAACTCCGATCTAAAGTTTGATTTTGATTTCTCAAAGAGCGTCTTCGAGAGTGACTATTGTGGACTCTCAAGGTCTGAAATTGGTGTAATAAAGGTCAGCTTTAGTGTATTGTCTCTTGTAGGTTTGGAAAAGATTCACACAGTTTGAGCAAACTTTGGAAAAGATTCACCCAGCTTTAGTGTATTTTCTTTATTTTTTTGGTTAGTTTTTGGATTATTATCGTATTATCTAGATCTATAAATTTTTCAGGTCTGAGCTTTACAATTGTTCTTCTAACACAGGTTGAACAAAAAAGGAAAGAAGCGCTTTCCAGAACAGGCGAAGAGAGTCAATCAGCTTTAGAGAGTTCATTACAAGATGTTGTATCACGTTATAGTTTCATGGATCTTTGGCCTTGCTCTTCTAAGGATATGGATCATTTGGCACGGCAAGAGGTACTTATTAAGTTACCATTTTTCTTAGTTCAATCCATAAAATTAGCATTGTCAACGTTAATATTAGTCGTCTTTAAGTAATAATAAACTGGTTACCATTGTCAGGCTTTTCCTTCATCCTCTTCCTTCTTCCAAGTTACCATTGTCAATGTTAATATTAGTCGTCTTTAAGTAATAATAAACTGGTTACATTGTAGAACTCCTTTTGGCTGCTATGTTTCTTTAGGTTGCGTACGTGATTACCATTTCAAGTTCTAAGGGCAAAAGCCTTCTTATTTGAAGGAATCCAATATGTAATTCTTCTGAATAGGAATTTTTGGCCTGGTTGTTACTTTTGTGTCTGGTTATGCCATTATGAGTTAATACTTTCTGAATTCCAAGATTATTTCAATACACTTAAATAGTCTAAATTCACATGTACAGATCTTAAGGGGATAAGCAAAACTTTGTGACTGATTATTTCTACAGTTTTTTAACCATCTATCTTTCTTGTTTTTATTTTTATTTTTTTCAAATTTCTTACGAACTGAAGTCAACTATATATGTGAGGGATGCTGATGAATCCGATGGATTCATTTCTTTGGGAACTTATGCTTCATGCTCTCAAACTTAACAATTGACCAATGCACTGTGCATCTTCCTAAATGACCCTTTCTGAATTTTGGACTGATGGCTATTCTTAGCTCTTGCTCTTCGTTGGAAAAAAAAGCGAGAAGATATTAGGATTTTTAGTTCCAAGTAGTCGTTTATCATTTCATTGCTGGCAGGAAGCTGATTGAATGGGTGATTTGTACACCTTCTGTTTATGCAATAGGATGACTTTGAAGTATCTGCAATTATTGGGAAGGATCCAATTACCTACTGCCTTGGCATTATTTTCTTTGGGAACTTCTGCTTCATCCATTAATGTGTATTTGAGGGAATCAACTTGAGCTAGAAACATGTGAATCACACACACACACACATATATATAGCATAAAAGAGTAATTGCTAATTTGACTGTGAAACAGTCAAATGTTTCCCAACAGCTACAAAAGAGATATAATAGTTATGCATATGAAGGGATTGGCTGCCTTTTTTCATTCAATACCGGATGGATAGATAACATGAATCCCTATCATTGGGAGGAGAATGGAGTAGATTCTTTCAACCCTTTTTGGAAATAGTGCTTCTGCCTATCTCTTAATCCTAGAAAAATGGGTACCACTCTGTTTCTTTCAGCTGGATAATGAATTGAACTCGAGCTCTTCTTCTATATGATTTAGATGCAATGGTTCAGGACTGGCGAAAGTTAATCCAGATGAATACTGCTTATTTTATTTATCAGAGAGAAATGCGATTTGGACTGCATTGTTGTTTTATGGTTTCCTCCTTCAGGAAGTCCCTTGTAAAATTGCATTCAGAATTTTAATTTTATTTATTTATTTATTTTTTTTGGTAATCCAGTTTGCTGTATTGGAACTGGAAATGCACTGTTGTTTTCTCTAGACTCTTTTGATGAAGTTAATGATAAAAATTTGCCAATCTAGCCATAAAATGTTGATTTGGTTTATGTTAGTGTAGCAAAATTTACGTTAGGTGCTTCATGCAAATGTTGCATCATCACTCTCTCTTGGTGGAGAAAATCTTGCTAGGTCCCTATTTTCACCTTATATGAATAAACAATGCATTTAAAAATATGCATAAACAATGTGATTAAAGAATATGGAAGCCTTATTTCTTATTATTTTTTTAAATACCTACTTTGAGTCTAGCTGGTTGAAAAGTCATAGTTATCCAAGTGGCAAAGGGATTAAACTCTGGAATAAATTGTAAATTGAGATATTTTAAGTTTGACTATTGATAGTAGTTGTTGAGCTTAACTGATATTTGTGATTTACTGTGATTTACAGTGATTGTAGGTATTCGGAGTTTACTATGCAGAGTTGGATCCAATTTGGCGCTGTCTTATAGAGGTTTCTTGGATTGAAATTACATATTTGTAATTATATATTTGTAAATCGATTATAAGCTCAACAAAATAGTCTATCTGGGGGTTCGAGCTAAAGAATTGTTTGACTGGAAAACTATGCTTTAGAGGTTTTAATGTTGCTCCTCATGAATTACACATTCTTTATACTCAAACCTTTTTGCTGTTTGTTTAATTTTCTGAATTGCGCTAGTGGGTAATTTTTTTGGTTTTGAAATGTGCCTGGTCGGTTTTGCAGGTGATGACCAATGGGAGGTTTAAAAGTGTAAGGCATAGAGTTATAGCGAACAGTTTGAAATCAAGGGTTTCAATGATATATTTTGGAGGACCACCATTGAGTGAAAAGATAGCCCCATTGCCTTCACTCATGGAAGGAGAAGACAGCTTGTACAAAGAGTTTACATGGTTTGAATACAAAAAATCTGCATACAAGTCTAGACTTGCTGATAATAGGTTGGGCCTGTTTGAGAAAATTGCAACCTCATAATCTTTCCCGCTTTGTCCCCACCTTATTAAGGAAATGGTTTTTTCAAGTCTCAAAAAATTAGGGTTTTAGAATAGTTTGATCAAATCTGAAAGTTTTGTACTCTCTCGCTCTCTCTCTCTCTCTCTCTCTGTTTCTCTTATTTACCTTTTTTTTGTTTTTTGTTTTTTCCCTCTTTGTTTTCATACTTCATGTAACTACTCTTCTTGTTATTAACAGAAGTTCGTTGATCATGTAACCATTATGAAATGTAGAAGCTTTTTCATGATATGATTGAGAATCAATCAAATGATCATATTCAGTAATCTCACAAAAGTAGTAGTTAAAAAAAAAAAAAAAACAAACTATTGCGGCGTTTTACAAAACGCCATTGTAGTTATTTTTTTGAACATAACAAAAAGCTATTACGGCGTTTTTTAAGTGTCGCTGAATGCCTGTGTGACGTCATTTTACCGTTGGACTGTCACAAACGCCGCCTATGCTAATTTTACGACGTTTTTAAAGCGTCTTAAACTTACAGCGACGGCCGCGTCCTCGGCGTTTGGTGGTAAGCGTCACTGAAGGAATTAGCGGCGTTTTTCAGACATATAGCGGCGTATTTAAAATATTTAAATATATTATATTTTTTTTTTTGGATCAAATCTACATATTCTTAAACTAAAAATACAATGAACACATCCTCAAAATTTGAAGTTCAACACTCAACCCTCTATCCGAATTCATGGAATATAGGTGATACTGAAACGACTGCACCCTCTCCATTTTGGTATTTCAACTGAACGATTTAGTCTGATCCATTTTAAATTCATTTTGGATCTATTTCGATGATTCAAATTGTTCAATTTGTAGGAATCGTTGAATATCTCATCATTATAAAAAAATCAAATTAATAGGATATCAGCTATTTGATCAAATCACATTTGTGTTAATTTTTTATTTTTAAAATCGTATTTACTGTTGACACAAAATTAATCTGATCAAGTAGTTATCGAGATATCCAATCAATATAATTTTTTATAGGGATAAAATACTCACTAAGCCCTACACATCAAATAATTCGGATCATCAATATGGCTCCGTAATGGACCCATAGGCCTAAGAGCATGCTCCACATAGGGGTGTAAATTTGGCCCAGCCTGACCCAGCCCATTTCGGGCCTCGCAAGCTCCAACCAAAATTCGAGTCGGGTCACGGGCCAAAAAAATTAGGCCCAAGCCTTGGGGCATTATGGCCTTGGACGGGCCTAGGCCTAGGCTTAGGCTTAGGCTTAGGGCAGTCTTGAACAAAAAAAATTTTTTTTGTTTTTTTTTAATTTTTCTACCAAAATTTTATTATTTTTCACTAAAAATGACACTGAGCCTGGGGCAGGATGAGCCTTGGACTGGGCCTTGAATGGGCCTTAAGCGGACTGATGGGCCGGGCTAGGCTTCAAAGTGATGACCCAAGCCTTAGCCCAAGGTTTCGGGCTAGGCTCGAGCCTAAATAGGCTAGGTCTCTCACGAGCCGCAGATCATTTTTACACTCCTACCTCTACAGTTTGATTTGGAACCGGAGATCAGAAACCACTGCCATACTCCTACCTGTGTTTGGGAAGGCAAGTTTGGGCTAAATTAGCCACGTCCGGACAAAAAAGGCTAATTTAGCCAAATAGAGACACAATAGAAATCACGGGTTGGGTTCAAACCCTTAATAGGGTAAATTTACCAAAATACCCTGACTGTCCTCTCTGATTATGAGGCCCAACGCCTCACCACACACACAACCTTTCTAGGACACACAACAAGCGAAGGAGGCGATTAATGTATACCAGTGGCGACGACATCTGAAGCAGCTTCGCAGAGGCGATCGGCACCGGAGTACGCATCTGCGGCATCGAAGAAGACTCGCGAACAGGTCGGCAAATCGAACGGTTGGGGCATACATTGGTGGCGGCGAACAAGAACGAACCCTCTCAAACACCATCGATCTTCAGGTAATGCTTTATGGCCGTTCTGATTTCGTTTTCCTTTTCGTGCAAATCCGTCCCCTGCTTCCGATCTGCTTAGGGTTCATGTGTGGAATCCCTTTCTCTGTTAAAGACAATTTTTTTCCAAATTTCAAAGAAAGTGTGGACTCTGTTTTTTGAATATCCTGTGAGTTCATTACGGTTAAATTAAGTTGACACATTTTGGGTTCATTACAGGTTGGGTTCATTACCGATCTGTTTGTTTATCGTAGTGCTTGGGTTCATTGCGATTACATTAAAAGTTCTCACATTTTGGGCAGATATATATATATATATATATATATAAATCTGTTCTTATATATAAATATGTAAATCTGTTCGTAATGAACCCAAGCACTACATATTTATAGTTACATATAGTTACATATATCTGCCCTCATTACGAACAGATTTACATATTTATATATAAGAACAGATTTATATATATATATATATAGAGATCAACCCATGATAAAAATTTAAAAACAGATACATATGAAGAACCTTAACAACTTGTTCTTATACATCTGTTGTTCTTATACATCTGTTGAGAATCTTAAAACAATATGTTCTTCATTTGAGAAATAGAAACATGTACATCTGTGCTTAATAAAGAATTATGTTCTTCAGTTGTTGTTATACAAATGTAAGGGAAGTAAATTAAAAAAGAATGAACCTATACATCTGTTTTGAGGATAAATGTATGATCAATCTATGCTACAAACTGCCAAATCGGACAATTTTGATGAAGTAGTTTATTCTTTTTGGAGCTTCTTGTGTGGGAATTTAAACATATCCAACAGTTTATGCTTTGGTTCACCCAATCTGAAGCCTTTGCACTTACTCAACACAAATTCATAGGAAATACACGGTGTTCATGGCTTTTTATTATTATTAATATTTGCATTATTATTATTGGTTTGGGGTTGTATATCTCCAATGTGTGCAAGTGCATATGGATAAAAGAACGTGGATGAATAACATAAAATAGAAATAAGCGAAAATAGATTTTTAAAACTTAATTAACAGACGTAAAAATTTAATTTCACAAATTTAATTTGAAAAGAAGTTTTCCACTGTAATACATGTGGATGAATAATAATTTTCAAAAATAACTTTTATTAATGGTTACCTAGCACTTTTATTATGATTTATTAAAGCCAACACATGGAATACGAATTTTGTAAACTAAAAAAAAAATTAATGTATACAAATAAAAAGAAATTGACAAAAGCATAAATGAAAAAGAACTGAAATAAAAAAATAACATAATTTTCCATTTGCCACGTAATTTAAAAATAAATACAATACATGAAAATCTATTTTTCAAAAAGTAAAAACAAATTAATGTATACCAATAAAAATAAAAATGACAATTTTGAAAATTTACAAAAAAGAACAACAAAAATACGACTCATCCAAAAAAGTAAAAAATGAAAACATAAAAACAGAAATTAGCATTTGCCACGTAATTTACAAATATCATAAACACATGGAAACTCATTTTTGAAAAATAAAAAAAAAATTAGTGTATAGAAATACAAAAAATTGATAAAAACGTAAATTTAAAAAACAGAACCACAAAAATACGCCTCATCAAAAAAAATAAAAAATAAAAACATAAAATCAAAAATTAGCATTTGCCACGTAATTTACAAATAGATAAAAACACATGAAAACCCTTTTTTGACAAATAAAAACAAATTAATGTATAGAAATAAAAAAGAATGGCAAACCATAAATTTAAAAAAAAAAAGAACCACAAAAATACGACTCATCCAAAAAAATAAAAATTAAAAACATAAAAACAGAAATTAGCATTTGCCACGTAATTTACAAATAAATAAAACACATGAAAACTCATTTTTGAAAAATAAAAACAAATTATTGTATACCAATAAAAATAAATAAGAAATAAACGTAAATTAAAGAAAAAGAACAAATTAATGTATAAAAAAGAAAAATGACAAAAACATAAATTAAATAAAAAAAATAACCATAGAGATACCCTTAATCCCAAAACAGCTCATAAAAAAAATAAAAAAATAAATTCCAATGACGCTGACGTGGAGCAGAGAAGTCAAGGAGTTGACATTCTTAAAATCACTTCAAGGGCATTTTGGTCATTTACCATGAACACACTTCACCAAAAATTCAAAAAGTCAAAAAAACTAAAAAGTCCTTCATAAACCAAGTTTTTTAGCACAGACTAAAATAGTCAAAAAAATCAAAAAGTTAAAAAACCAACTCACTTCCCAAACGGAGGCTCAAAGGACATAATGAGACTACAAAAGGAAAACCAATGAAGTGAGTCGTGTTTGGCAAGGTTTTGTTGTTTTGTTTTGGGTTACTTTATATTTATATAGATACTCCTAAATTATTGAAAATTATTATTTTTTTGTAAGGGTAGACATTAGTCCGTTAGCCTGTCCAGTCCACCCAATCCAGCCTTATTATTTTTAAGATTTGAGAAGGTTGTTTTAACCCATAGAGCCGGGTTAGGTCCACATTTTCAGCCCGATTTATTAATGGATTGGGTTTGAGATTAATACTTTCAACCTAACACAGCCCACTATCAAATTAGTTAATT